TGTGATGTAGATCGCGACGTTTCGACTGCATACTGTTAGTCTTCTTCAGGCGATAAGGTCGACCGGTCATGCGTGATCTTATAAAGCATGATTCTCTGCTGTGATTAGTTGTTTTTCAACAGCTCTGATTGGTGCATTTCGATCCTTGCTGTTTCACTCCGTGATTTGCTCCCTCGTCACATGGCTTTCCTGTTGCTGTGTTTCTTGATCATGAGCGTCCACGCTTCTGGAATTTCTATTCCACTATCCCTGTTGATGTTGCCAGGATGAAGTCTTATATGAGTTGCCTTTTTGACCCTTGTGTGTAGTAATAAGCGTCACGATCAATAAAATTTACTTCGTTCCAGAGTGGTTTGTTTGCGGTGTTGTGGGCATGCTCTGAAACGGCGGAGGTCTTGGTAGGGGCTAGTCGGATGTCTCGATCATGCTCCTTAACTCTGTCTTGCATAGGTCTTCCAGTCTCTCCGATGTACACCTTGCTGCATTCACAGGGAATCCTGTAAACTACGCCATCTTGTTTAGCAGGGTCAACAGCATCGTTTGGTCGTACTAGCTGAGATCTTAGCATAGTCTCCGGCTTTAAAACAGTGCGTACGCCTCGTTGTTGTAAGCAATGGCGAAGCTGTTCGGACAGACCTTTGACATAAGGTAAAACCGCAGTAGCTTTGAAGTCGTTGGCGGGTTCGGCACTGTTGTTTGGTTTTCTTGTCTTGGTAAGTTTTTGCAAGAAAGAAAAAGGATAACCATTAGAAACCAGAACAGATGACAGATGTCTTTTCTCCTCGGAAATGACAGAGCGTTTTGTTACGAGACGTTTGGCGCGCTCGTGAAGGCACTTAAAATTACCGCGTTTTACTGATTGAGAGTGGTGTGAATCATACGCTAAGTATTGATCGGTGTGCGTGGGCTTCCTGTATACGCTGGTGGCGAGGCGGCCGTCAGGTTCTCTTATAACTGCGGTGTCTAGGAAGGCAAGCTTTACTAAATGATTTAATTTTTTTCTTTTAGGGACCTTTCTTTAAACCCGGTTGGCACTCTTCCAGAAGGAGTATTCGCCAAGCTGACTCGGTTGGAAGACCTGTGCGTGAAAAGAGACATAAGTTGTTAGGCCTTATTTTATAAACACATTCTGTACAGTCTACGCACACTTATCTTATCTATTAAACGAAAGTTTGAACAGAGCTGGACTCAGGCGACCACAAAAAGGCGAAATTAAACCAAATTATTAAAAACAAAAAATAAGGGAGGGGAAGGAAAGAAAGCGGCCTGCTGCTGAGCCTCTGAGATTTTACGAAGCACCATTAATCTTTCCACGTTTGTCACCTTTAAATATGAAAGAAGGAGTAATCTGTGGACTTGGCGCCAAATATTTCTTTTCCTCCCCTGGATGTGCATTTTACTTCGGAGAACAAATTCTTAGTGACATTTTTTGGTTTTATTGGAAAATGGAAACGAATCTTCAAGTGGACTGCTTCATGAGTGAAAATAGCCGACTGTGGTTTGAATGGGTTTTACGGCTCGTTGTTAAAACTTTCCAGTGGAATTGTTTTTAACAGTGGCTCTTAAAGACAAACGATTAACTACCCACATTGCCTCCCGTCTTGCACGGAAACAGAAGGAGTAATCTGTGGACTTTGCGTCAAACCTTTCTTTTCCTCCCCTTAATGTGCATTTTACTTCGGGGAACAATTTCTTAGTGACATTTTTTAGTTTTATTGGATGACGATATAAGAATTGTACACATTTATAATCTTTTTCCTTATAAAACTGCGAATGGCTCTGTACCTAGTCTCTGATACATTTCCTCAATAAATTAAGTACCTTTTAAACGGTAAGTAGCTTGAACGCATTGCTGTTTTTGTCTGTTTCTTATCATAAAATACTTATTGTTGTAAAGCTTTCCATTTTCTCTTAGTTAAGTTATTTGATTCTTTTCATAGGGATTTATCTTCAAACGCCCTAAGCTCTCTTCCGGAAGGAGTATTCGCCAAGCTAACTAGGCTACAGAAGCTGTACGTAAAATTTGATAAAACTTAGTACTTTCGACAAACAGTTTCTGTGCAGGTGTATTTTCCTTTTCTGTAAGCCAAAGGCAGAATTGTGATCTGAGTTGGACTCACGAGACGAGAAGAGGTGAAAGAGAAGACAAGTGTTTATAGGCAAGGAAGGGGGAGGGAATGTTGGAAAGCCTGCTGCTGAGTCTAGAGAGTTTACCAAATGCCCCTAGATGAATAACTATTCTCTGCTCGTCACCTCTCACTTTAAATATAAAGGTGAGTAAATATTACCCTCCAACGGTAAAAAGTGAATCCCCAAAACAGATGTCAAAGGGACAAAGTGTTGTCGCTGAAGAAATTCATTTCAATTACCGTAGCATCGTAAGCCCATTTAGATCGTGTTCAAAAGATCTGAGTTTTGGGTAATTTCTATGTACTACCTTTCAAACGATGACAAGCTTGAATGCAATGCTGTTTTTATCTGTTTTTTTGTCACAAAGTACTCATTATTGTAAAGCTTTACTTTTCTTCTTGACTAAGCAATTTGATATTTCCATAGGGATTTATATTCAAACGCCCTAAGCTCTCTTCCGGAAGGACTATTCGCCAAGCTGACTCGGCTGTGGGAGCTGTACGTAAAATTTGACGGAGCCTAGTACTTCCAAAAAACAGTTTCTGTGTCAGCGTACACAGGCGTCTTTTCCTTCATTTTTAAGTAAAAGAGAAAAGTTTGAGCAAAGATGGACTCGCAACTACTAAAGGCGAAAGAGAACATTAGTATTCATAGCTAGGAAAGGGGGAGGAAAGGTTAGGAAAGTCCACTGCTTAGTCTAGGGAGTTTAAGGATATGTTATAAAAGTTCATAATGAAGGAAAATGGAAACGAATCTTCAAGTGGACTGCTTCACGAGTGAAAATAGCCGACCTATGGGTTTTATGGCTCGTCGTTAGAACTTTCCGGTGGAATTGTTTTTAACAGTGGCTCTTAAAGACAAACGGCTAACTACCCTCATTGACTTCCGTCTTGCCCGGAAACAGAAGGAGTAATCTGTAAACTTTGCGTCAAACCTTTCTTTTCCTCCCCTTAATGTGCATTTTACTTCGGGGAACAATTTCTTAGTGACATTTTTTAGTTTTATTGGATGACGATATAAGAATTGTACACATTTATAATCTTTTTCCTTATAAAACTGAGAATGGCTCTGTACCTAGTCTCTGATACATTTCCTCAATAAATTAAGTACTTAAACGGTAAGTAGCTTGAATGTGCATTGCTGTTTATGTGTGTTTCTTATCATAAGATATTGTTGTAAAGCTTTCCATTTTCTCTTAGTTAAGTTATTTGATTATTTTCATAGGAATTTATCTTCAAACGCCCTAAGCTCTCTTCCGGAAGGAGTATTCGCCAAGCTAA